GTTGCAATCAAGTCTCCAAAGACTACACTTGATTGTGTAGAAGTACATTTCTTGACTTAGTCAAGATAACAAAATAAAAACAACAACAACAACAAAACACTCACATTTTCTCTGGGTAAATGGATTACTAAAGTAAAGGACATCTAGAAAAATCTTTTGTGGTTGAACTTTCTGTTAAACATTTGCCAATTTAACAGCTTGTCTTTAAAAAGATCATTACATAGCTTTTCATATTACTGGCTACATCCTTTCAACCATACTTGCTATAAAAAATCAATGCAATAAATAGCCACTATGTATAGAAGCTTGGAACTATCAAAAAGACTATGAAGAAATTATCAAACCAAAGAAACCCCTTAACTCAAGAAACACTCGGTGTGAACACATCCATAAGAGGTAAGGTGAGGTCTAAACAAGAGGGCGTGGTGAAAGTGAACTCTCTTCTCTCTCCTCTTTCTCTCAAAGCCCCGGGGAGGGTCTGGATGAGTATTCTTGTTTGCTTGCTTCCTTATTTATTAGTTAATATAACATCTATCAAATTTGTGAATGTATTACATTTTAATTACATAAATTGTAAAATTGAAAAATTGCTCTTCTGTAACCAGCACTTACACTGAATTCAATCAAGCTTGTCTTGTGAACCTAAAGTTTATTAAATTGGCATTTCTGAAAATCATCCATCCACAAGAAAATGAGAACAAATCATCTGCAACACACAATAATGGGTTTCTTTCACATTGCTATTGGAATAGATGGCAGCTACACTTCCAGTTGAACTTTAGAAATGAAGTAAACGAAGGCAGATCCATGAAAATTGCATTGAATTGTTACATGGAGTTCTTGGTACTGCAATTGGTTGGATGCATCATTAACACTAAAAGTCACAACTTGAAGCTTAGCAGCTAGATCATTGGAAGACGTTTGAATTCCTGTTTTCTCATTCATATCTGACCCATTTTCAATAACATTTACCTACACTGGGAGGGATTTATAAGACACCAAAGATGTCTGATTTTAATCTCTGATCTCACCTGTTATTTTCTTAGTAATTGTTAATGTTATTGAGCCTGATAACTTCTACTTCCACAGGTCACAAAACAGTTTCCATGTTAATTATTGCTGTTTTATGAGACACATGCTATTAAATATTAAGTGGTAGATAGATACAAGGCACCACTGAAATTTGCTCATAATTCATCTGATTTCCTTTACAAAACATCCTTTACTTTGTGCTGTCTCTTTTTTCTTTAGTCCATCAGGGCTTCTCCCTTTCAACACTTTATGTAGCTACCACCAGAGAATACTATGTACATCCCCAACAAACACTCCCAAGTAAGTTCTGTCCCTGTTTGAGAGTGTCCTATTGTGCCATATTTTTATAATTAGACTCCCCTTTCCCTCAGCCTTAATCCAATTCACCACCTGCAGGCTTTCTCATCCTAGGTAGCAGCTTCTCTCTCAAGAACTCAAAATTTCAACTTCACAAACTCCTTTCCTGTCCAGGTCACTTCTGTTGGTTATAATATTTGATTACACCACCTCAGTGCTGTTGGAACATGCATCCAATCCTTACCATATCATTTGGCCTTAACTTGCTTGAAGTTTCCATTAGCCTTTTACCTAGAATGCCACATTAAGTACCTTATGATCTCCAGGTCTATCTGGTGAGGTTGTCTGAGAAACTGTTTTAGTAGAACACTCATCATATCACTCTCCGGATAGAAACACCATGATTGCCACTACATGTTCGACAACAGGATCCATAATGGAAATACACCCTTATGCCTCCAGTCTTGAGAGTCCTAATTCTTCCTTTACCTGAAGCTTACATACCCTTGCATCAAACTCATGCCAGTCTACTTTTCAATTGGATCAGTGATTTTGTTTCCTGCTCTAGAATGCTATAGCCATATCGGTGCTGATAAACTCCAACTATTTTCTAAGACCAATTGAAACCTTCTACAAAGCATCCCTTACATCTCCACTGACACTACCACCAATGTTCATATATAACAACATAGAAAGATACTGTTTGATAAATATATAATGACGTGTGAGTAAAAAAAATAAAGTCAATAGAATGGGCCAAAAACAAAGAAGCATGACAGACTAAAATTCTATTTTTTTGTCTTAGAATCACAAGATTTTATGGCTGAGAGAGTTCTTACAGGCAATCCAAAGTTTTCTGTGGTTTCCATATAAAAAAGTAAAAAGCTCTTGTCTTAAGATGAAGTTTGGGAAATTTGTATCTAGTTGTGTAATACTGACTATAATTTCAGTGATCCTTATACAGCATTCATGAAAGCAATCACCACAGTATTCACCAATAAAAATGGGATCCCAGAAGCTGCACTTCAGAGTCTCAACTTCTGTCATTTCTCATAGCCACCATTTAAACTTTACCCAAGAAACATTTTTTTTGTCATTTTGTGCCCAAACATCACCACCTATATCATATATTTTCTGCTTACAAACTAGCAACTCTCTACCACAAGCAGGAACGACCTAACCTCCCTCGAATTTTCAAAAACTTTGTTCCTAGTGAAAACTACAGAAAGATTTGTTACAGCCCAATGTTAACTTGCATCATTTCACTGGGAAAAGTTTTAGGGTAGCAGGGAATTGAGCAAGGTCTTGGCATATCTTACCGTGTCACAGGAAATGGTTACCAATCATTAGACCCACTCAGAACTGTCTCTGAGTTTATGAACATCCAAACCCAATTCTTTAAATGAAACATCTTAGGGAATGTTAGTGTTTGAGGCCCTGAAAGTGTAAATCACATTAATATAAATAACTGATATATTTAAAGTTGTCTCATCATTCAAAAAGGCTTTAGGGTACATAAAATTTCAAAGTTATCTTTTCCTTAAAAAGCCAAATTTCAGAGGTATCGACATATTGTTTGGGACCAATTGGATCCATCTTCATTGAACCCAGGATCACTGCCTGACTGAATTGGAAGCAATTTTTGTTTTTCAAGTGTGATCTAACTTCTCCACAGGCAGGTTTTGTGGAAATTTTTCCACGTCGTACTTGGACCTCCAGCTTCTGCCTTCGACTCTGATTCTGAACAGTCGAGGCTCTCCTGCACCTTTGTTTGGAGGGTGTATCCCTGCTTAAAAATAGGTTCTCATTTTCTCCCAGTCTCCAGTGCTGAGTGCTGGCATGAAAAATGACCCTGATACTTGGAAAGGAGTTTCCCGTACAAGTCCCTCAGGTCCCATAATGGCAAAACCTCCTCGTCCACTTTATAGAGCCACCCACCCCACAGAAGAACATGTACAGGAAAAGCAGCTGTCCCTTCCCCCACACGTTTCCTCAGTTTATTTATGAAATGTCTTGGAATGAGAATGAGCTGCTTGTGGTTCCTGTGGCTGATTCGGGGATGGTTTCCTGCAGGCCAGGGAAAGCTGGTCAACCGAATGACCTCTGTGTAGCTAACCCATCTACCCCAATGGGAAGGCTGTTTGGTTTTACGGGTACCATTTCTAACTATGTCTAGAGGACTTTGTTTTTGCAATGAGGAACTTAATAACCAAATATCACTGTGAAGACAGACTAGTAAATGTCTATCGGCGCTCACACCTTCCCTCACTATTCGACTTGAAATCTGAAGTACTCCTGACAGGCTCGTGTTTTGAATACTTGTTGCCCAGCTAGTAAGTGATAATATCTGGGTAGGGGTGAAGACCTTAGGTGGGCCCTAACTGGTGGAGAAAGATTATTAATGGGGAACCTTTGAAGTTTATTGCCCAGACCCTGCTTTGCCTCCCACTCCACTCCTGGAGTGGCACCATAAGACTGGAGGACTTTGTTTCTGCAATACAGAGTTCAATAACCCAACATCACTGCAAAGACAGATTAACAGTGGCCATGTCTATTAATGTTTATATCTTCCTCAGTCAATAAAAGACATCAGAAATATGCTAAGATGCCTTTAGACACCTACATTCTCCTTCTCAAAGGAACAACATCTTCCTCCTAGCATTTAGAAAAGCCTATGACAGATTAGCATTGTATTTGGACAAAGAATCCATTTGGATAAAAGATAACCTTAAACATGAGCTTCATGAAGCATGCTCCTTATTTAGTACTATCAAATGGCACACAATTAATGCCTACAATCAAGTTAAATGAGAGGGGCTCAAGTCAATGGTTACTCAAGTATTTCTTTATGTCCATTTAGATTTGCCAGCAATCATGGATGACTGTTAGAAATCTGGGGAAGCTTACTGACAGTGATTCGTCTATTAGACTAGTCCATCCTTAACAAACATGCCTTTTACTTGAATGAGCAGATTTAAATGGAGTCACAAAAACTAAGACCTCTTCCAAAGGACAAACTAGTAACCAAAAATTATAATAAGCACTGACATTTGATCCACATAGGCTTACTAATAAGAAATTTAAATGCCAAGTTTTCCCATGATATCAATTTGAATGGTAAGAAGAAATATTTCATAAAAGCATTGGGCAGTGACAAGGTGCTAATGTAGATTCTGAATCCATTTGAGTTGTGCTTGTAGGCCAGTGTTGAAAATAGATGTTCCTGACCTAATGTCCTGAGCCAGCCTCCTCACTCAAGTGCATGTTATTACACTTGCTAAGGAAATCAGAGATGTGTGCTTATCATCTGTGGCACATACAAAATCAAGTCAATTTTACCCATTTCATTGAATAAAAAAATAAAAACACACAAAATGGCCAATCCTCCATTTTCTTAAGTATATTTTACCTAGGTTTTTTTTGTTTTGATTAATCATTTGAATCATATTATGGATTTACAAATGCACAAATGTAGGAGATTAAAAATTAGAAATAATATATGGTTAAGGAAAATTTCAGGTTAAAACAAAAGGTTGGGAGCAATTTATTTCATTCACCCACTATCACCAAATTAAAAGCTAATTACAGCAATATATTCACAGACCAACATGTCATTAAATTTTATATCTGCGGTCTAACCTCTTTTTCTGTTTTTCTGTTTTGTCTCCCAGTGCATCCTAACGTCAGCCAAGGCTGCCAAGGAGGCTGTGCGACGTGTTCAGATTACAATGGATGTTTGTCATGTAAGCCCAGACTATTTTTTGTTCTGGAAAGAATTGGCATGAAACAGATAGGAGTGTGTCTCTCTTCATGTCCAAGTGGATATTACGGAACTCGATATCCAGATATAAATAAGTGTACAAGTAAGTACCCATATCACTTTATATTTTTATCTCATCCTCTGGAATTTCTCCTGATTAAATGAGCTTCTAATCAGACTAAAGTACTCAAAAATAAGTAATATTTACATAATGTTTTGGGTAATGCACATATAGATTCAGAAAACTTTCACTACTAACATAAAAAAAGATCCACTCAAGTTTTGTGTTTTGTTTGTTGTTTGCTGTTTGTTGGTGTACAAAACCTAGAGCCAAGAACATGATTGTTTACTCACTGGACCTATAGAAAGTTACAAGAGGTATCAGAACCATCTGTGTTTCCATTACCATTATAAAAGCCAAGTGTTCAATAACTGGATGAATTATTTCAGCCATCTTGACTT